GCTGATGGTGCTTTTTGTCTTTATTCCATAGTTTTTCCATGCTTACCATGATTCTCTTGTTCTAGGTGAGTATAGGACATCATCGTGTGGCTAAGAAGTTACATAGGTATTTTTATTGGCTGACATGATGTTATCTAGTATATACATAGTTGTGTTTAGTGCCAAACTCATAATACTCCCCCTCGTGCCACAGAAAAATAGTTGAAGTCAATTGCAATTTCCCGTCCATTTAAGTTTGTGGCATTTGATTTTATGGAACCTTTTCCACAATCGACTTTTGACAATAAATATGTTATTATTGCTTATAATTATTTGACTCATTGGGTGGAAGTTGGTGCTCTTGTTAGTGCCTCTGCAACTACTGTTAGATACTTCCTCCTCAATTGAATGGTATTCCAGCATTCTTGTTTAGAGTGGATTCTTTTGGATAATAGTCTTGCATTTATGGCTGAGGCATTTCATGTTTTGATGTTTCAGTTGGGGATACGCTACACTTTCATGAGTGCTTATCATCCACAATCAGACAGTTTGGTGGAACGGCTCGTTCAAACATTCAAAAGAATGATCGTGAAGTATGTGAATTTTCAATATTTGGATTAAGATGGTTATTTGCCATTTCATATATAGTCCCTGCATATGTCACAGGGGTGTAGAGTTTTGTTAGTGCTTTACTAAACAAAACTTTTATATAGTCGTGATCCAATATTACCAACAGAGCTAGGTTTACCTTCAAAATTGCCACAAGCTGCTGATGCTGGGTCGTGGGATCAGTATTTGATGAGTATTTTTCCACTTGTTCGAGCAGAGTTTGCCAAACACTTAGGCCGCACACAAGTGGGATAATAACGGTGTTACAACTTCTATCATCGTCCACTTACAAAGTACAAAGTAGATGACTTGGTGTTAGTCTGTTTTTCCCATCTTATGGTATGTGATTTATCTAGGGGGCTCCTTGCTCAATGAAAAGGACCGTATTGAGTGTTGTAGCAAGTTGGACCACAAGTTTATGAGGTTCAGCATGATGTTCAGCAGACTAATCCTCTAAAAATTGTATATGTGCACCAATTGAAACGTTTTATACAACATGATCAGGAACAATTAATATCACTTACAGATCCGTCGATGCCTCCTTCTGACATTCCTCCAGATCCCAGCCCATCTACAAAAGAACTTTGATGGTCTTCTGATGTAAAGTCTAAGTGTACAGCTATGATATATTAGTGTAGTGGGATTTTGGTAGCCGTCAAATTGGTTTCAATACAAACTACTTGCTCTTATATATAAGCTAGGGTTTTTGGGCTAATTGATATGCACATTTTCTATATTCCCTTTCTATATTCTATGCACTCACACTATTAAATTTTTAGACTATTTTTTGTATTATATTTTAAAATGTATCACTATATTAAGGCCATTATAAGCCACAACACTATTTATACTAAAAAGGTAATGTATTCTATTTCATGATTTCTAGTACTGTCCATAATTGATATGGATAATCTTAATAACTATATTATGTAGTTTTACAATAGTGTTTGAGAATTAAATATCATATGAAGTTATAGCTTATTCATCAGGATTTTGTATATTTTGACTTATGCTTATCCATGGTTTCTGGTTCTATTTTTTCCATGGTTTCTATTGTAAACCATAATCATCAATCAACATTTATAACATCTTGATAAACTGGCTACAACCTTGTCAACAATTAGTGAATGCTTAAACCACTTGCAATCCACTAAACACACTGCAATAAATGATAAACCCTATCTTTACATTTTCCTTCTAAGCAACTTTAAAGACTTGCATTAACTCAGACTAAGAACCTTCATCATCATCTAACATAACATATAAGAAGTCATGCTTATTTTATTTGTCCTTTATATCTTTAATATCTCATTTTAAAGCATTAAATTTGTTTCAACTTGCTATATGTGTTATTATATTCAACTTCATTCCACTATTATATTTACTTAACTTCATTTTGTTTGGGCCAAACATTTCATTGGTCTTGTTATACTTGTCCTCACCCTAAAATCCTAGTTGTATACCATTATCACTCATCCTCACTCCATTTTTGGGGCATCTTAAAATAGATGTTATTTATCATGACTTTATACTATTATCACATATTTTCACTCCATTTTTAGAGCTGAATTCCTATCTATGGCCCTCTACCTTAAAAAAAAAAAGGAATTTAAAGCATCTAAATAACTATCACGAATGTGATTGTAGATATTGAAAATTACTTGATGGTAAGTCCTTTCAAATATTCTTTCCTTTTTGCCACAAGGTTAGTATTGTTGAACCCTTTATTAGTCCTTCTTGTTCAAGTGTTAATAAACTTGATTTAGCATCTGTACTTAGTCGGACAAGCATAAGGAAGGAATTCCTAAATGTCCATTTAGCTAAATATATTTAGTTCGGTTTGTTAGTTCTTTTTTGCTCTGTCATACACTAGCTTGATAAGATATTGAGATTGGTCTTTCAATACTCATTAAATGATAGTTTATTATATCTACCAAAACACTTTCATTATCATGCTCCTTGTGTTAGTTCTATTTGGTCCTACTGACTATTTATAGAAAGTGTTTAGATTTGCTAGTTGGATGTAGAAATTTTCTTGAACATAATAGTGTTGCTTGAACATAATAATGTTGCTTTCAAGTTTGTAATCTAGTGCCATTCCATATTTAATAATTTTCATAATTGTCATAGAGACTAACTCCTGACACTAAGGGTAAAAGCCCAAAGCATGCATTCCTCAAGGTTTAATTTAACTCCTGCTTAAGTGACTATCCTTGTTCTACATTTGATTTGAGTCTAAGCCAAAGTTCCATACTATATTAGTTGGTAGAGTACCCATATCTTTGTGTGAAACCACTAATATGCTAAAATAACATTAGACTATGTTTGGTTTTATTTTGCATATTAGTCTTAGCATTAGGATGGTAGAAACTCTAAAATTGTTCTAACATCATTCTGTGTTTTTGTCATTTCACTCTTTGGGTTGAACACTCAAGAGTTGCTCCATACTCTAATTCCTTCATTTTTTAGCTACAAGCTTAGGAGTTTAATTTTATTCTTTCATTTAGTGGCCCAAGGCCCTAAAACTCAAGTTTCACTTTATTGTTCTTAAACATGTAGCATATAACACATGGTATATAACATGTGGCACAAAGAGTTTAGGTTTTACTTCATGGTTATCCTATAGTAAATCATCATAGGATAAAAGGTAAAAACCACATGCATTATATGAACAAGGAGAAAGTAAAAAAAAAATTGATGAAAAAACAATGTAAAAGAAGAAAACATGGAAAAGGAATTTTCAATAGCTATTAAGGCAAAAATTGAAAAAGCAAAAGATATTTGGATAACAAAGGAACTTATGTTATAAAAGACTCCACTTATTACAAAATACTTCTACCAAAATGAAATATTCCAGAAGTTCAACCTCCTTAACATCAAACTCAACACTTGCAATGTGAAAATAAAAAAGAAACTCTGAAAACTCTCCTCTTTAACAACAACAATAAAACAAAAATTCATTATCATATAGGAAATATAATCAATTTTAAACTTTTGCAAAGTAATTTAATCCTTACTTAACATTAAAAATGATCAATAACATACAAACAAAATTCTCTATGATATACACACTCTAAAAAATCTATATAATTTTGGGGAAAATAAGGAACATTTAACTTAATAATACATTGAGAACAAGATCAACATGCTAAAAGAAGAAAGTATTGTACTTCCTACAGATATAGCATCTCCAAGCTGTGGCATGCAATGCTCTGCAACCTCAGTAGCAACGACAATGATTATTATACTGAGAGAGTGTTGTATGGTTTGCCCAAGAAGAATTTTGGCTGGGAGATGGAGATGTGTGATGGAATAGAAGACGAGCTGCCAAAACGTTTCTCGGGTCCTTCTTGGATTACAAGACAATGACTTGGGAGCCACGAATTGCAACACTAGCTCAGTCTGACGACTTGGACTTCGTGCCAGTTTCAATCAAACGTTACCCATTGATACAATGTTGTGGAGAGTGTTCATGATGGACGACAGGAAATGCTCTCCATTCCATTTGGGGAGATGGCGATTGATCTAAGTAAGGCTTGGATGTTGACGACATTGAAGATTCTGGACGATGTGGATGAAAAGCAGAAGGAATCCACTTGGAGGTCATGTTTGATGAGTATGATTTGGATCAGAAACTCTACAGTAAATAAAAACTACCATAAGCTGTGTCTAAAAAGATTTAAGATGAAAAAGAATTTTATTATTTTGAGGGTAATTATATAGACGAGTTAGATTGGGAAAGGCAAAGAAAAAAAAATTATATGGCAATTTAAAGATTGGCATCCTCTCTTATTTGTTTCAGCCTTTATTGTTTTTTGTGTTTTTAGTGTTGTGCTCCAGGAGAACAACTGCTTCCGCCATCGCCATAAACGCCATGAACCAGTTGTAGCTCCCAAGCCTGGCCAAAAGAAAAGCCTCCCTCGCCTTTCACTAATAAACACCTCAGGTAATCAGTAACAACCGCTTTATCAAGATGCGTCAACTTTGAGCTGGTCTTCTGGGGCCAAACAACTTTCGAGAGGATCATAAGTAAAAGCCTTCGTCATAGCTGGAGCACTGCCAGTCTTAGTGAGGATACGCTCATATGTTATGAGATCCCAATGCTGTCAGCCGGCAACTCGAGTGCGGTTTGCATCCTAAGAGCATTCCAAATCTCATCGGTAGTCTTCCCCGTCTTCTTACCATACCAAACCCGAGCAACCCGCATCCTGCGAACAATCAGCCAAACCTCTAACAAATCATTGATAACGTCCATAGGTGCCACCGCATCTCGATGAAACATGCCTATGTAGTTTATATGGGCTAAGATTAATTACTTTAATAATTAATCAAGGACAGTCAAACATCTTTAGAAAATGTTAAGTATACATCCTTACAGAGCTTCTAATCGAAATTACTTGGTGATCAAGAAATAGCGCCAAAGCAGATTTGAATTTTTTACTAGTCCACCTCAAATCAGGGCTTCTTGAGAAGATCCATGGAAGGATTCATAGGCTCTGTCTTGAGGACGTGAAGTAGAGCCTTGGAGCTCTCCAAAATCTGCGAGATATGGACAATTTGTGATCAAGTTCGATGGAGATTTGTGATTGAGATTGATCGATCGGTATGGAGTTGTTCGAAGGACGAGGAAAGAGAGACGAATTCGAATCGAGCGTGACATACCTTCGCGTAAGCGGATTCCACCTCGCGGATAGTCTTGTCATACTCGCTCGAGTAGGCGTACTTCCGGGAGAGGCTATCCTCCAGTTCCGCTAGGCGCTTGCTGAGAGCCGCCAGATCCTTCTGGATCACCGCCTTCTCCTCCTCCTCCAGCTGCATTATCCTCTTGATCTCATCGCGCTTCTCCCTCAGCTCCTCGATCCCTGGAGAGGAAGAACAAGAGACCATCGATAAAAAACATCGATTTCACCTACGATGAACCAGCTCCAGATTGTAGTTTTGGAGCGCTGCCGCCCTCCCCATGTTCAATGCGCCCCCTCCTCCTCCCGATCCGGCCACCGCCGCGCTCTGCCATTCCATCACCATGCTGTGCGATCGATTCTCGATCTTCCCTGCCGCATCGTCCGAGCGTTCCTTCATGGACGACGCCGAGGAACCCTAAAACTAGACGCTGCCACATAACTGGCTGTGGTTTACACGTGGAAGGCAGCTAGTGGCTCGTTCTTGCCACGTAGCAGTTTAACGGTATTTTTTTAGGGCAATTTAAACCGTCCCATGGAATGGGGGCGCCGACGAGGAATGCGCCGCGCTTGTGCTAGTCCATGTTGCGGCGATTCTCCGGCGCATTCGACGAAGAATGGCCGTGACATCGACCATGGCCGTGGACGACAAGGTGAAGAGGTGTCCGACGGTATGGAGTGTGATCAAGCCCTTCGTGAATGGCGGCACCGCGGGGATGTGCGCTACGGTTGTGATCCAGCCCATTGACATGATCAAGGTGCGCAGATCGCATATCCGTCCCGAAATATTTCGATTCGACTGGATTTTGCGGTGTGCCAGGTCCGGATCCAGCTAGGGCAAGGAGGAGCGTTCCAGGTCGCCAAGCAAGTGATCCAGAACGAGGGATTCTTCTCTCTGTACAAGGTACTCCAGATTTCCATCCTTGCACTCGAGCTCCGGCATTTTCATTTCGAGGAGTGTCATCGAATTTTTTCTCTCGATTGTTTGAAGTTCTATGCTTTCTTCTATGAAGCCTTCCTTCTTCTAATTTTCTTCCATGCAGTCCTTAGACGTTTTTCTCTCGGCTGAAGCTCCACTGTTATTTCTTTTCTTTGTTCCAGGGTCTCACTGCTGGATTGCTGCGTCAAGCAACTTACACCACCGCTCGTCTCGGATCTTTCAGGTACAAGTCGAGAATTGTTTACTCTAAAACCTCTATTTTATTTGTCTCCTTGACTTCAGACTTGGCTTTGCTCTCTGCGTGTGAAGGCTGCTGACCGCGAAAGCCACTCAAGCCAACGATGGAAAGCCGCTCCCGCTCTACCAAAAGGCCTTTTGCGGTCTCACTGCGGGAGCGATCGGTGCCTCCGTTGGAAGTCCCGCAGACTTGGCACTCATTCGCATGCAAGCCGATGCCGTGCTGCCCCCAAATCAGCGAAGGAATTACCAGCATGCGCTGCACGCTCTCTCTCGAATCGCTCACGACGAGGGAGTTTTGGCACTGTGGAAGGGAGCTGGCCCGACTGTTGTTCGTGCCATGGCTCTCAACATGGGAATGCTGGCGTCTTACGATCAGTCCGTGGAGTTCTTCAAGGACACGCTCAATTTCTCCGAGGTCCAAACTGTTGTTGGTAAGCTCTCTAGTTTTTTCTTTGTAGTTTTGCGTCAAAGTTTCCTCTTTCTACAAGTTCCTTCTTTGTATTCCGTCGATGAGCTCATTTCTTCCTATCTATACTTTCTTTCGCTTTTGTGGTTCTGTGTAAGCTTCAGTTTCGTTCTTTCTCGTTTCTCTCTTCAGACTTGAGAGCTCCTCCTCCTCTTTGAGTGGCTGGTTTTTCTTGCTCTTCAAGCTGGTAAGCTTAAATACTTGTCCCCTTGCTTGTCTGCTGCGGTGCTCTCTCTTTGAACTTCGTGAGCTAATCGAAGACATATCGTGTGTCTCGCAGGTGCCAGTGCTGTGTCGGGCTTCTTTGCGTCGGCCTGCAGCCTCCCTTTCGATTACGTCAAGACTCAAATCCAAAAGATGCAGCCCGGCCCGGACGGCAAATACCCGTACTCGGGCTCAGTTGACTGCGCTGTCAAGACGCTGAAAACTTATGGGCCTTTGAAGTTCTACACTGGCTTTGGGACATACTGCATTCGGATTGCTCCTCACGTTATGGTACAGATACAATCTTTGTTTCCTTCTTTTTTCTAGTGTTTAATTGGCCTTGCTACTTGCAGATGACTTGGATATTCTTAAATCAGATACAGAAATTCCAGAGAATCATTGGTTTGTAAATGCAAACCGGTGGATTTGCTTTAAAATTTTTGAGAATCAGTCAGCCGCGAGGTTTTTGTTCCTCCTCTCTAGGATCTCACCAGTGACAAAACATTGGAAATCAATTTAACCAGTGAGGAGATCTATGAACACCTGGACCAGGCAGAACACGAACTAAAGAAAAGTAGAGCTTTGACTTGCGAGAACAAAGAGAATTTTGGACACCTTAAGACGTAAGCATGAAGTTGGACTTTACTTGATCGTTTGCTGTCGGATCCCGCGAAGACTCTGCTTGCATGCGCTGTTCCATTAAATACCACGAAGTTAATGCAAGTCGAAGAACACCCAAGACGTGAAAAGTTGGCAAAGCCATGAGATCAAACATCAATGCTCTTGTTTATGGTTCTTTGTTGTAATTTATTCACACAGCAACCGTGTAGCTTCCACCAGGTTGTAGAGGATCTAAAGTCAAGCCTTGCTCGCTCGTGGCCACCACATGACCTCTCGGATCTAGCAGCACGGCATTGTCTCCAAAGTTACTCCTTACGTTGATTCTCCCTGGTTTTACTTTCCAGGCCTTTCCATTGAGCATGACGACCGCGTAGCGAGTTCCTGGAGAATCAAACGAAAACAATCAGAGAGTGCCTGGGAACCGAGAAAAACGATCCATGAAAACTTACCAATCGCTTCGGTGGTGGTGTTGCTTTGATCCATCTGGAGCTGCTGCTGCGGCGTGGACGAGCTTACTTTGCTCCTCTTTTCTTCCGGCGAGTGATCTCCATCGGTCTCCACTTCCGATTCGGCGTCCTTGTGCTGCGAGGAGGTGGTGGTCGTGGAGGGGGTCGCATTGTTGTGTCGTTGCTTCCTCTTTGCTCGAGCCTTTCGGTTCTGGAACCAGTTGTAGACGTTGGTCTCGGAGATTTGGCCGTGCTGGCTCAGCTCGCTCGTGATCTCCTTGATCCTTTGCCGGTTTGGCGTCCCATTGCCCTGCTTGAAGAGCCTCTCGAGGATCCTCAGCTGGTTCTGCGATGGTGTCCATCTTTGCCGCGACGTTGGCTTGTGGTGGATTCCCAGGAGCATTGGAGACGAGTCCTGGATGGCAGGAGATTGGTGGCCGAGAAGCAAGCCTGATCAGGAGCACACGCGGCGAATGTTTCAAATTATCTAGCGAGATTTCCGCGACCGAGAAAGAATATGATCGAGAGGGAAGAGAGAAAGGAGAGAGTTCTTACCATTGTATGTGTGCTGGTGTGAGATCGTTGCCTTGTGCATCTCCACGAGCTGCTGGCAGATCGTGGCGTAGACCGAAATCTGGCGCCGCAGCGTCTCAAGCTGCTCCTCGGTCATCACCTGCGCGGGATTGGCGAGGCAGCTTTGCGCAAAATTGTGAGGAAGATTGGGAGGAGGGAGCAGGAAATGAGGCATCTGGAACGCATCGTCGACGACGACGCCCGCGGCATCGGCAGCAGCAGCAGCCATGGCAGCTGAATCCTCCGTCCAGATCGATTCCATGTCCACCAATCCATGGTGCTGCTGCTCCTCCGCTGGTGGCGGCTGTGGCGGTGGCGACGACGACGACGCTGGCGGCTGCGTCTGGAAATGCTGCCGCGATCCTAAATCCATGGGGCGCGCGGCGAGGTAATTCTCTCAGCACTCGGATTCGCCAAGACCTAGAGAAGAGAAGGCGCCCACGATACTATTTTTTCAAACGCTCCTCGCGAGAGAGAGAGAGAAAGAAGCTCGTTATGAATGTATCCATCCATTCATCCATGGGCATGGGATGGATCATGGCGCAAATTCCATGGCCATGTGACCATCGCATGTGCCATGCCTCCCACGAGGCGGCATACATACGTGTGCCCTAAGTTGATGACGTCAGCCATGCATGCGGCTCCACATCCCCATACACATCCATCACACCCATCCATCCCAGCCGTCCATTCATTCACATCCATCCTTTCTATTTGGGAATGATTTGTTTCCATTCCAGGGGGAAAAAACTCGCGCCATTTTAACTTGCCCGTTTATTTACAAATCTCGTTTTTTGCCTAGCTGCAAGCACTGTTGCTGAGAAAGAACTAGAAAACTTGGAGGAGAGAAAACCAAGGTAAGAAGAAAGATCAATCAAACAAACCTCTAGCTCTTTCTTGTCCTAGCTTTGTGTACACTCGAACGGATGAACAGCGGCTTCTACTCCCCTAATCCGCTGGAGAAGTTCTATTGGCCTGTTCCAAAAGAAGACAAATACACCACACAAGCACGAGTTAGTACACAATGAAAGAACGTTAAGGACATCGATGAAACAAAAAGAAAGGAAGAAACCAAAACGACGAGAAGACCACCATAGCCAGAGGACAAGAACAAGAAAAAAAAAGAGAGGCAAGGATGGAATGAATCCCAGCACTCAGTCGGGGGATTAGATCCGGTTTCAGCACCACCGAGGTGTCCATTCTCTGGCATAAATTCGAACCGCCTGGCACTCCACCATTGAGTAATCAGCAAGCTGTTCAAGCCAATCGATCCAAAAATGTTAAGAAAAAAACAGCGAGGAGCGAAACAAACGACCGAGGCACTCAGTTCTTGTTAGTAATGCATGAAACGAGTGAGCTGGAACCAAAGTTAAGTTGGGCCCAAGGACGAAAAAACACACAAGAAAGCAAATCGCTAAAGAATGGAGAGAGCCAGGGACTTACAATCCAATCTCACGATGGCGGCGCATCTGTTGTTGGTTGTCGGCCATGATGCGAAGAGCGTCAGAGTCGGCTCCTTTGGCACGCCGAGCTTCAGTATTAGAACTGGGTGACCAGAGCTGCATAAAAACTCATTCAGTTGGCTCTCAAATGAAAAGGAGAACAAAGCCACCTTAATAGTGTTGTCAATTCCGCTCGTTGCCACCAAGCAATCATGAGGATGGCACTGTATACAATTTACAACTGCATCCAAAACTACATGTGATAACTAACCGAAAGAAAAAGACGAAAAGCTTCACAAACCGACCGCTATCGTCTCCGGCTAGCATCGTTACAAATCTTCCAGTTTCTTTCTCCCAGATAAACCACAGGCCATCGTCACTACCGCTCGCAACGAATTTCCCTGGCAATCAAGTTTTGAGAACTAGTCAGATCCCAGAAAAACCTTCGAACCTCTTTCTCCGAGAAAGCTCGCCTGCTTGATGTCTGTTCCGGTGTTGCAATGCCCCACGTATCGCTGCCGCATGTCCATAGCAATGTCCGTCTTCCGGAAAATGAAAAGTAAAAGCTTGTCACAATCTCAAAAAGAACTAGATTTACTTACTTGTAGTTCTGGTGCTCCTGAAGCTACCGTATTTGCCTGCTTCTCTCGACCACCATCACATTTTCTTCGAACTCTTAAGTTCAAACTACTAGGGGCTCCGCTTTCTCGGTCTCGATCGTTGTCCTCAGTGACGGACATCTCGATCTCCATCTCCATGTCCTCTTCTTCAAGATCAGAGTCATATCTTTCTGCTCTCCTGCTTTCCTCTGAAGAATCACTGTGATCTTGTTCCTGTCTAAATAAAAATTCTCTCAAGGATTGAATCCTTGAAGGGCGTCTCTCCGGTTTTGTTTCTTCGTTATTCCAGACGTTCCGAGCTTGCTCGGCTAAAATAAAACAAATGAATCGAAACCATGAGAACCGAGCATTTAGAAGTGTCTTACCAGCAACAAGCTTCGAATGCAGCTGCGTCACATGATCGGAAAGAGTACCATCTTCAGGATCGAGATGGTGAGCTCTCGTTGCGAACTCCCACGCTTCCTTATGTCTCCCTAACTAATAGTCCCGAATCATAAGTTTGGAAAGCGAGGCTCAGTATTTTCGAACCTGAGAAAGTGCCTCGGCCATTCTGTGATGAGCCACTACTGACATGGGATCAATAAGTCGAGCTGCATTGCTATCGCGAACAGCCATATGCATGTCGTTTTTCCATCCTCTCTGAAACCACGATTCAATCTCGATCATCAAACAGTGAGAAAACTTATACCTTCACAAAAGCTCCGGCGCGAAGGCACAGCAAATCATGCCGAAGCTGTGGTTCCAGGACAACTCCACTAGTTTCAAGAACTTCACTTGTCGTTTCAATCGCACAGAATGAATTTCCTTCTTCTAAGGCTCTCCGTGCCTCTTCCAAGAGCTCCTTGCATTCCTACAACGGTGATGCCGGAATCAGTGCCAGAAAGGAAGATAAAAGGAATGCTTTAACCCGAAGAAGAACTCTTTTATTGCCTGAAGGCACTTCTTGTGTTGAGGGTACTTTATACTGTTGACCATTCACGATAGGGACTAAGGCAGTCCTTCTCGGAACATCACCGGCAGCATAGACAACGGTAGCATCATTCCCTGCAAAAGAAACACCAAAACACTACGCCACCCTTCGTAAATAGTTGCATACCATTGTACGCATCTAACAAGTAGACGTGTTCTCCGCTGTAGCTCAAAAGTACCTCGCCGCCATCAGGGCTGAACGTAACATGTGTAAGGTGCAAACTGGCACGCTGCATGAAAAAAGGAGGTTTACAAATATGTGCATCGCAAGGCTTTCAGTACTCACATCAGAAAGATGCATTGGACAGTAATAGCAAACGCAAGCTGGTGGTTTAGATTGCTGGCCAGATGGAGTCAGTGGCGGAAGCATCCTTCTATCGTACAGACGGGCAAATGAATCGCTGGAGTAAAAAAAAAAACAAATGTGAGATACAATCACCCAGAATGTCAACAAGTACCTGCCACCAATGAGAATTTGATGCGGACGGGTCGGATTTATAGAGCATGACTTCAGAGCAAAAGATCCTTTGGGAGGATCAGACAGGGTTTTTTTCGCTCCATTTCTTAAATCGAGCTAAACATGAAAACGCTTCAGATGCGAAGCTTTCGATGCAAGAACAACTTACGAGAATATTACGGCATTCCTGCTCCGCTCCGCACGTCACGGACTGGCGTAAGTCGTGTTGCCTAAGAGTACCATCTTCACTGGCACTCCAGATTAAGTGTGGATTTCCTTCTTCAACCTGCACTTTCGGACAACATCAAACCGCTTGCTGCCACCAAAAATAGCTTACAGCCAGTTTCTTCACGCGCTTGGAATGACAACGGAAGAGTCCAAATGGCTCACTGCTTCCAGTAGCAGCCACACGACTCCGTCTGTGTATCCTCACCTAGGCACCCAGAATCTAGTTGAAGTTAAAAGCAAACAACAAAGATTCATTTTTCTCACCTCCGAATCACCGGCTCCAGACACAACAATGTCGTCCCCGCTAGCCGGTAAGAACTTTGTGCAAAAAATGTTGGCGATGTGACCGGAATCAACACTTTGTAGGAGCTTCCGTGTGTTATAGTCCCAAACATTCACCTAAGAATAAGTCGGTCAAAAACAGAAGAAAGCAAAAGGAAGAAAGAATGAAAGACTGTACCCTTGTGTCATCAGAGCCCGAGAGTAACAGGGAACCAGTTGTGTTCCACGCCAAAGAATTCACACATCCATTGTGACCCTGTGAAGAACAAAAATCTTTAAACTCCTGCAAACTATCTTCCATCTACTATCACCTCGAGGGCCTTTTCGCGATGCAAGCGAGCTAAAAGAGCTGGATGCATTTGGAGCGCTCGCATTGGATTGTGCTCCTGGTATGGATACGGCACCTGGGAAGAGCCAAAAACGAGAAAAATTTATCACCAAAGAACCTAATCCAGCTAGAAGTCACCGATCGCGCGAGCAAATCACGAAATATCGCTGCTCGAGCGCCGATTCCTACCCCAGACCTCATCCATACCTCCTGCGAATCGATGCTGCGGCCATCGACGAGGCCGAAAATGTTCCTGTCTCGCGCGCTCACCCGGGCCATCGCCGCCGCCTCCTCCCCCTAACCCCAGCAATTCCGCCACGCGCTCCTGCCACGCACCGATCAGCGCCGCCAAGATCACCGGCAGCGCTGCCACTGACGGATCTTCTTCTTCTTCGTCCCCAGCCCTCGCGCTTGAGCCATCCTCTCCTCTCTTAACAGCTATGATATGGTAGCGAATATTCCCTCCATTTGGTATTCTAGGGTTTGTGCCAGAGCAATGGCGGCGACGCGGCTGTCGATCAGGAGCGGCATTCACAGGCTCGCGCAGCTGCGATTCAGTGCGTAGCTGATGGATTTCTCCGTGCTATCCGCTTAGATTTCCCTCTTTCTCGCAGGTCTGGGGCCGCGATTCTATGCCACCAAGCAGGAATTCGACGATGCGTATGAGAAGGAGGACGATGAGGAGCTCCGGGCTGGAAATGCGGACAAGTTTGGGATGTCTAACAAGCAGCGTGAGCAGCTACTGGGAAGGGCTGCGAATCAGCGTTCTCGGCAGCAAGAGCCTCTTCCTCCGATGAAATGGGTAAGACTTCCTGGATTGAGAGCATAGATTATGAGCGTTTCTTTGTTCTTCCAGCAATTCGATATGAGAGTGGTGGATGTGAACCGGACGTTTAGAGTGACAAAGGTACCTACATTGTTGGTTTTTTGGAGTTCTTATGGTCTTTAGAACAGGCTGGTGGGATCCAAAGCTTCACGGCCTTTGTGGTGTGTGGCAACTATGAAGGGATTGCCGGCTATGGCAAGGGTAAAGCCTCGGATGTTGGCTACGCTGTTGACAAGGTGATCCTTTTTACTTCTTTTGCTACAACTTTTTTCTCTTTTTTCAGGCTTACAGGAGATCGCTAAGAAACCTTCACTTCTTTGACATCTACATGAACCGGACCATTTATCACAGCCAAAGAAGCAAGTTTGGAGCGACACACGTACGTATGGTGTTTTCTTTTTTTTTTTGTTCTTCGTTGGTAGTGATGTAATTGATCACAGGTGAAGTTGTGGCCTGCTGACAAGGGGGTCGGCCTAGTTGCAAGCGATGTTGTTGGGGATATACTGTTCTTGGCAGGATTCAAGGACATGAAGTCCAAGGTACGTCCTTGCCAAGGAATAAGCCGATGGCAGCTTTTGTTTTGTCAGGTGATTGGGTCTCGTCACCCTCACAGCACAGTGAAAGCTCTCTTTAAAGCCTTGTGCGAGGTAAAATTGCTCCATCCTCGTATCACTTTTCATTTTTCGTTTCAGGTCGAAACTCCTGAGGTTCTACCAGCCATTCGACCCCAAGGTCTTTTTTCATGGTCATTGTAACGAAGCCATGGTATGACATGCATGAATTTTTTTGCGAAGCTGAGAGTTTTTTTTATTTTTTTGGAAGTTTGACCAGATGCTGGATAGAACAGTTTTGTTTCACTCTGTACATGGTAAGCTTGTGTTTTACTCCTCCTCGACGAGAACTTGATTACAGAAATTCGTCCTTGTCCTCGCAGGATAGAAGATGTTTTGTCTTCTGTAGAAGGTGTCCTTGATGACGGGCTTATTGGCAAATTGTGGCTTAGCGTAGTTGAATGTCTTTGCTGTTCTTCCGATCTCATCATTGGCAGTTCGATAGCCACCACTTTCCTGATCACGCAAAGACTTCCACAAGGTCAGAACTTTTATTTCGATTGAAAACTTCAACCTTTTCAATGCCGGGATTGTTGCAGCAATAGGCCGCTCTGTGTTGGCAGTAGTATGTCTCGTGATGGCATTTGGAACAGAAGGGAGTAATTGACAAGCCTGGTTTTCCAATATCATACAAGTACTTGGGTCCTTCGAACTGCCATATAGTAAACGAGCTGGTCACTCTCTCCAGATGCAACAAATCTTCTGCCGTACCCGTGTGGGTTTTCTCTCGGATTTGGTCGCATCCTTTTCTAGCTTTTTCATTTTCTTCGCCATGGTTTCCAGCGATTTAACCGAGTGCTTGTAGTCCATCTGTGCAGGCAGAAGACAAACAAGCCTCAAGCGTTTTCCTCACGCTCCACGTACCTTGAGCTGCTCCCGATACTGGTTCGTTCGCACGACATTGCTAAACTCATCTCTCTTGGAAAAGTCTGACGTTAAGAAACCTTTGTATCTTTCAGGCTGGAGCTCGGCGTACATGATCCGATCAGCGTATGGGTCTCCCTGCGGGGATCAACAAGGCAAGTCTTTTCAATCACTAGGCTGGTTTCTGGATATCCTCCTTACATCGGAGACCCAAGGGTGCTCTTTCTGGAAGTAGACATCGATGGTCTTTCCGTGCTTTCCAGGATTGGTCATAAATTGCTTGCCAGTGAGCTGAGACGGCAGCGCTGCACACAAAAGAGCAAATTGAAGCGAGCTGCTTGAGCTGCGAGCAAGAAATCCTTGGAACTTACGAGGCCGGTGTCCATATTCGAATGGATTATCTTCGGTGCCCACTGTGATGTAACTCGTGATCTCGAAGACATCGCGAAGCGCTCTCTCGGTGAGCAGATTCTTATTCATCTTCGGTCACTAAGAAGGAGAAGAAGAAGATCAATCGCGCTCTCCACAAGAAGATTGCGTGAAACGGAGCTGCGGCAGCCAAGGTGTCATTCCTCTGAAAATTCTAACCGCCCTCACCGCTTTGCTGAGAGATATTCTTTTCAGCTGAAAGGAAGTTATAATTGATGACTGTGTAAAAAAGCCACAGCTTAAAACACATAAAAGTGATCTCCTTTCATTTCATTTACATTGAGAATCTTCTCATTATAGATTTATGTCAAATTCTCCATGAGCAGCTTTGGAAATGGATTATTTATCTTTTAGTTGTCTAGAGTTTAGACAAAATAGTCATTTCATAACAAAGATAGCACACTGGGTGAATTTGATCTAGTTGAACCTTTATAAACCTCATTTCGTGGCAAAGCTTGATTGAAATTATGTAACTATCCCAGATGTGTACGCTCTTCTTTTTTCTAGATCATCTGGCAAGAAATCGTTGATTCACCAAATTAAAGCTGCTGATCGAGATCCACCGAAAAAATCTTGACAATCTGCTGTGACAGGGTTGGTGTGGCAAATGGTTTGGCCATAAATAACTGCAGACACGTTGGTCCTTTTGTTGGGCTCCCCATTCAAGAGAAGTGCGTAGAGAGCCTTGATGTACGCAGGAAATTCATATCTGCTCTTCTTGGATTGCGAGAAAAAGAGCCTGGAGGAACTCCACCTACAAGACAAGATCGAATGGAATATATTTTGGCCTTGCCGAAAATAACTTTCTTTCTGTATGCGTGATGATGTGCACGACGCTGGATTGTAATGATAAAACTCGCTCATCAGCTCTAGTGATCATCTCTGCTTCATCAAGCATCACTTATGATTGTGCTGTTAATCATCTCCACTCTAGCAGAGTTAAGCAGAAAGCTCAGATACAGTTCCCTTTCCCTGCGGTCTTTTGTTCGCAATCCAGAAAAAGCAGATGAACACGGGGGAATTTCCTGCAGATCTCAAGTCTCTCTATTGGGGTGGCCGCCAGCAATCGACCAATGTGTCAGCAAAGATCTGTGGTGAATCTTACACAGTTATTTTTGCTCAAATGGCACAGCTCGAAAATGCTTATCCAAAGAGCTCGACAGATTCCAAAAGTGAGTTCCATGATCGTTTTCACCTTTGTGGAACACGTGTTGGAGTATTTTACATTGTAAGGAAAGAATTACCGATTTATCCAGGTTGTAAGGCTCCACCTCCTTGGTCTCGAGGACGCTCTTGGGGCATAAAGGCATCCACCATAGCCATTAAAGTCGGCTTAGAAGAAGGCAGGATTGTACAAGAGAGAATGGGGTGATGACATGAAAAGCTTTGGAAAACACCAGAATATCTTTTCGATACTGTTCTCTATGGAGGCTCCATGGACGGACTCCATGGATGCTGCGGTGATATCGATGTCAGAACAGCTCATCCTCCGCGCAGATTGTTTCTGTCTGGAGTTTCCCAAGCTTTTTTTTCTCGCAATCCAAGAAGAGCAGATGAACACGGTGAATTTCCCAAGGATCCGAAATCTCTACTCGATGCTCTTGACTGAGAATACCAGCAAAAGACCAATGTGTCCGAAAGAATCTATGGCCAAACCATTTGCTACACCGGCTTTGGGATCAAACACTTGAAGCTTCGGCTGGACAAAGTTGCACCCCTTGCATTAGGGGCACAGATTTGCGAGGGGAATGGCGCGCGCGTGCTATCTCTGCTATGAAATGTATAAATTTTGGTCACCTTGATTCACTTCCAAAGCTGTTCAAAGATGTAAAAAGTACTAACAAAAGGGAAGAGAACTACTCCATTATTTTAGTATGCTTTGTGACTTCAATGTTATTATTTTTACTGGCTATACTATTAACGTAAAGTACATATGACCTGCGGTAGAACTGTTGGATCCATCCCCAATCTGTCGTAAAGACACGCTAAGAAACACTTTGGTGCTGGTCTGCCTCGATCCGAGCTTTGCATCTAAGAAAACTCTAAGTAAGCAAATATGCCTAAAGATATTCTTTTCA